CACCCGTTATGGTCGTAGTGTTTCAGTATTAATAGACAAACTCCTGTAGAAACAAAGGTATTTAGGAGTTAATCACGGATTGATATCAGTTAGAGAACCATTGAAAACCAGAGAGTACTGGACAGCTGCTGTTCCATCCTAGTTTGGGAATCATCGGAAGTACGCACCAACTGGAATTCGAACCCAGGACCTTCCGGTTACAAGGCAAGTTCGTATACCATTCAGCCACTGGGAGCCGATTCAGTGGCCAACACATGAATTCTAACTTCTACCAATTCGTGGTGTACGAACTTGCCTTGTAACCGGAAGGTCCTGGGTTCGAATCCCAGTGGGTGTGTACTTCCGATGATTCCCAAACTAGGATGGAACACCAGCTGTCCAGTACTCCTTGGTTTTCAATGCTTCTCTAACTGATATCAATCCGTGATCAACTCGTGAAAACATAACTAACCCTTACAAGCCAAACTATAGAAAAAGGTATTTAGACCATTGTAAATGGAAGATTTGTTGTCAGTCCTTTTCACCTGATGTGGGTCTACATGTGTATTAGACTGCGACTTCTAAACCAGCCGACCGATATTATTTTGTTCTGATCATACTGTCTTCAGACATTTATTCCAAGTACATTGGATGGATATTTGTCTTATTCGTCTTTCACAGACGTCAGATACTTCTTTTTCTAGTTTATTTGCAAAGATGGTGTATAGTTAGGACATTGACACAGTTCACGTGCATAGGAAATTTTCCTCATTACTCAGAAAGTATATTCACGTTAGTGAAGGTGGCTGTGAAGAACTATTTAAAACAGGCAATTACATATGTCTAAATACTTTTGTAACACCAGCGATAAAACAGCTACTGAGTAGTAGGTTTTACTGTGCTTATATATATATATATATATATATATACATGCATTGACTTCACACTACGTGAATGCTAAAACTTCAAGTGTCAAAATTAGCATACTTTCATTCGTGAAGTCTTTCATCCCATTTTCACACCTATTCAATCCACTATATGGTCACCATCCTCACTGTTTATTTATAATGTGATCACTTATATGTAATCTATTACTATTTGAAATAATCACTATAAATTTCGCAAAGTGATTCTTCCTGCTGCATTTTATTATTATTTACATATGTGTATTCCAAGACGAAACCGTTGCCAAGTTGATATATATGAAAAATCTAACCTCTGTGGTAGAATGTAATAGTAAATCTTAAGTTAATTTTTCAATGTAACTGACTCTATATTACGAGTTCTCCCACCACAGAGAAAGGAGAAAAGCTGAAATGACCTTTATTAGTTATTAATTAGTGGATCTGAATATTATTTATAGAATTAGTGTACCTCAGTCACAGGAAGTAATAAAATGATTTTAATCGAAGCATATGATGCTCACGCATGACTGGGTACTGGTCGGAGTTGCCTGGAGTTCTAGGGAGAATTTGTGAACAGTAGGGTTCGCCAGGTCGGTTGTCGGGACAAGTACTCATGGATTATACTGGCAGGCGATGGCGTTAAAAGTCATGAAGTGCCAGAAGTTAGAATTAATGAGCCATGGAAATCCATCCCAGCAGTTGATTGGTCAATTAGCTTATCTCGTTTCTTGAAGGCTTTTGACTCCGATCGTCAATGGGGTTGTAGGTGTGTACTGCGGACGAAATTGGTGGCTAGTACCACTTGGTATTCAGTGGTTCTCTAACTGATATCAATCCGTGACCAAAACTGTAACCAATCAAGTCTCAACAAACTAACTCTTGAAAGTTAGAAGAGGCAGACTACTGACGTGAAGTATTATATCTATCAATAACAAGGGATAAATCATTGAAAGAATAACTAAACTGGCAATTACATTAGTGGTCGAATGACGATAATATCCCGTTAGTACTATATGGCATTAAAACTATGCAGCTGGTGAGAAAGTTTTCTTTAGTCAGTTTATAACTTATTTAGCTATTGATTAACCATGAATGCAATAAATGTTATTAAGCAATCTTTAATAATAATGTAATTCATCCACTTCAACTCTACCGCTTATAACATTTTAATTATCGTTATTCTTATCACTTATATATATATATATATATATATATATATATATATATATATCGACTGAGCAATTATTTAGTGCCACTTAATAACCTTTTTCTGTAATATAAATACGACTACAGCTTGAAAATGAGGTCGTTGAAAAGAAATTTCTTCGCTGAACAAAAGCACTGTTTTTACTTATGAATTTAATAGCCTGAAAACCAATGGTGCGGTTTAAATTCCAATCGAAGCAACAAGTGTACATTCTAAGAGTAAGGCTTTTGATTATTGCTTCTTAGTGTCAAACAGTGCACAAACATTTTAAGTTCAGGAAGTATATATTATTATACACATTTTATTTACACAATCACAGTGACTAATTGCCACTAAGGCTATATAAAAAATTGAATGAATTCATCATCGTATACACAGTGCCCTGGTTTCGACCCCTGGTTAAGTCATGGGTGCATGCCGATGAAGAGTTCTAAACAATGACGAACACAGGCATCCAGCGCTCCATAGTTTTCAGTGATTCAGACCGGAATCAGAATTCCTATTACTGTTATTATTTTTATTAGTATTATTGTTAGTTTCATTATTGTGATCTCCTTGATGGTTATCCATATACATGGATTATAATTTTGTTAACCATAGTGATGTCAAATGTTTGTCCTTAATAATTTTATCACGTAAGTGTAGAGCTTGATAAGGAATTATCAAAACTATGTATTTGCTTAAATGTGTTCTCTAATTGTCATAATGGGAATATTTAAATTAAATTGTTCCCTACACTGACATTGTCAACGAGAATGCCTTCTATAGTACACTAATCACAACGCATAATACAGTTGAATATGTATTCAGTATAAGTATTTGATTAGTATTATTGTAGTGTGAATTTTCTCTACGAAAAACTCATTAAGTAGCCCACCACATATTGGTTGAGTGATCGTCACTTCAACCGTGATAATATAATGTTTCTATAATTTAACGATTACCACCACTAATTTTTTATGATTGCAGTTCACTTATATGTTTATCATGGAGATATGAGTGATGATAATAATATTAACTATATTATTAATATTATTGTTATTAGCAAACATCTGTAATCAGTGGTATGCATCAACCACCTCTTACACAAATACACACACATACATACATACACGGGAAACACAACTAAACACATTACAAAAGTTTTAAAGACACAGGAATGTGAATCATTTCATTCATGAATTAGGCGGGGTGGGGTGGGGTTAAAGGAAAAGTAAGCAAGTATCACTTAGCTAGTATGAGGTTAAGTGTAGATTACAACTTGAAAAAAAAACAGATGTTTGTACACCTATGTTTAAAGAGACGGTGTGTGTGTGTGCAGTATAACTTTTATTTAATTCGTCACTGTTCTTTTCTTACTCATTTGTTGGGTCATAAAATTATTCATTAACTTTCTATTGACTACCTTATGCAACAATAGGGATCCACTCTTGAACTTTAGTCATTATTCGATCAGGGTCAATTGTGTACGCATGTGTGTATAGGTTTAATTATTTGCTTATCGGACGTCAGATCGATAACAACTATTAATATCAATGTTAATACATGGAGTAATGTAAATAATAACAATAGTATCATTAATTTTCACTGCCGAAATGAAAAACATAGTGGTGGAAATTTGTGTTAATTGATTGTTATATTGTCATAGTTAAATTCTGTTTCTGTGTCTTAGTTTCACCCCATATTTATTTACTCAGATCGCCCACTTTCTTTCCACTGGTATCTACTATTCCCGGGAATATGTGTATGTGTGTGTGTTTGTGACTATAGAAAAGACATGTTAAACGGTAAAACATTCAAAAACCATTATTATCACCCTTGAATATTTTCATTGTCAATAAAAGCAAATTAGAACATAATTACGAACAAAAGTAGACAGATTATCGACACGGTTACAAATATCAGTCTTATAATAATAATAATAACATCAGTGACAAGCCTTTATGCAGATTAAAATAAAAAAAGTTTTGTTTACATGATCGAGAAATTGATTTAGATGGATGTGAGTGTGCGGACGTGCGTCAGAAAGATACATAAAGTAATTCTCTGTACTTAATGTTTATGCATGTCATATCAAATGCTGACAACCATGCACAGGAATGGTTATATCTGTTCTTTATTGTTTCATAATTTTCAAATACTGATAAGTAAAGGATACTACAGAAATGAGTAGCTTTTACGAAAGACCGACCTTTATCATGGAGATGAAACTTAGTCAGTAATGGCACCAAATGGGGAAATTTAAACTTTCACTGTAGATGCTGTGAAAAGACATCATCTAGACATTTACTGAAGGCTATGAAGTATTAGATATCCGCTTCCTTCTGCTTTCATGTTTTACAATGCATATCTAACTGATATTCTTTTTTCCGAAGAAACGTACACTGAAAATAATCAGAATCCCTAAATATCCCGAAATCTAAATATTTAAAAGATTGCGAAATCTGTAAAGCATTTTCGATTTATGAACTATTGGACTTTATGAATATTTTTTTATATATTTTTTATTTTCATTACAGCTTGATTCCACACCGTATTTTTGGTACAGGTATGGAATTTTCAGCATATGATATCGGTAGCCCAAATTTTGTGGGCCGACCATAGATATCCGGTGTGCGTCAGCAGGGGATCGAACCTCGGACCATGTGCATGGTCGGTGAGAGTCCTAACCACTATGCCACCGACGCACACAATAAGTGTGTGATTTCGAGCTGCTGCATTAGGTTTTTGAAAATTCTGCATAATCACCACTTGAAGACAAATTTGAAGTTTACTGGAAATCATCCTTGTATTCAAAAAGAACCTTGACTTGATTCTTAAATACCGCCATAAAATCAGAGTGAAAATCAATCAAAATATTATACAAGAGATAGTTATGATAAGTAATACTGAGTAAATGTGTTACTTACTGTTGATTACCGCTTGTTGGGTCAGTTAGGTTTTGGTATGTTTTAGCTTTATAAATCTGAAATATGATCAAAACAGATGCTTAGATTCTCAAAAAAATGTTCACAATAAGATCATGGATTAAAAGTGACTAAAACATTTCACAGTGTACTTTATATTTACAAAGAGATTATGAGTGTTATCAGATTTTTGAATGGAAGTCGGAATGCAGCCCGGCATCCCGATTTTGTGCATATAAACGAGGTGTATCCGCAACGTCGAAGGAACTTATTTGCCCCTTTTTTACCCTGCATAATAATCAGACACAGACAGTTCTATTAGGACTGATGGTTGAATTCTTTCAGGACTGCAATTTTTTGATCAACTGATTACTGAGGAGGTGATCAGTGTCACGTAATCTAGTCTGTAATGGTACTGACTGAATTATATCAGTCAAGGGTTATCAGTGTTTCAGGATAAGCACTGTACTATAAATGTGCTTACGTCTAAACACATGTGGCAATTTAGCCTATATTTTCAACATAATACAGTTTTTATCTGGGTTCATTAAATGCATTTCTGATTGTTTAAGATGAACTGAGATCCTATAATTACTGCAAGTTCCTGATGCATTAAAATTAAAACGTTGACGAAATAGATATTTTGTATGTGACTTCTATTGAGATTAGTTTGTATAGCAACCGCTTATAATTGCATTGAGCTGTTCCGATCAAAGTTAACTCCTAAACATAGGTATCTCAAACGCCCACCGGATGGTAACACATACCATTTACTGTGCTCTATCAACTGAAAGTTTTTGCACCATGAGAATAATGAAATATCTTTGCCGACTGGAGTGGATTAAACATTATTATTTAAATATTCTGCTGGTAACTCTGAATTTCGAAAAATATGACACAATGTGTAGAGAGTCACTTTAAATATTATCTTCAAAATGACTTCGAAATATCAAGAATAAACTCACATACATTGTCACGTAGTAACATTAAGGTAAGACACATTATACAGACTTTACTGTCTAATAGTTTTACAGAATAATGATTAATTTAAAATAACGACAAGGAGAAGTCTTTAACTGAAGATGTTGCTATCTGTTTTATTTTGTGGTTGAAAAGTGACTGAAGCACATGCAGCCAACAACAATGTCTGTTTGGGAGTTATAAGCACCTCATGAGCTTTTCGAATTTTATCAGTAGTGGTCAATAAAACAAATGAAATCAGAAAACAGTGTAATTCCCGGGTAAATTTGATAGGGGAGCGACATCACATTGAGATTCAATGAAAACCAGGAGAAATCAAGCATCTGCATCGTGTTTCTCTAATTTCCTGTACTCTGTATCCAAGAATGTGTCAGGCATGACATTCAGAACCCTTAGATGCTTATACGACCACGTTACTATTCTGTCAATGTATCATGAACTGGTGTCCCATAATTCTAACTTCTGTTAATTCGCAATATGGTTCATCGACTCCTGCATCGCTGATCCGTGATGAGTTAACATATGCACGTTAGTGAAGAGTCCCAAATTAGAATGGAAACAATCGTTCCTCTTCAGCAGTGGTTGTTATAACCATCAGATATAAAAACTGTATTAAGATTTTTTACATCTGTCTCTATCCTCATGATAAACATCTTAAGACCGCAATCGTAATTATTCCGTAGTATGTTAGGTGCAGTGATTTGCGCACTACATTCTGTCCGGTATAATTCAGAATCAAATGCCATCTCGTATTTATTCTGCTATGTTAGTCGTAAAGAAATCGATTGATTGAATTTTCTGTGTTTACATTACTATTCACTGCATCGACAAAATTCATTGGTGACTTGGAAGATTAAATATTTAGAAAATGGGGAAAGGTTACTTGTAACACTCAAGTATTAGAAGAAGCTATTTAGTAAAAAAAAAGTTGGTCTCACACTATCTGCTAACATAAGTCAAGCAATTCTATGCAACCGAAAACACCTTGATTCAATCCCGTGGTAGATTATTAGTCAACACTTCAAGTCTCGCTTTTCAATAAACTACAAAGAAGATCGATTCAGGAATAAACCTACACTTATACAACGCTTTAAACGTAAGTTTGTCTCCATTGAAAATTTGTTTTTAATTGGTGAAAGTTGTACAGACTTTTCTCATCGGCGGTTTTATATTTTTCATAAAATCAATTACGACAATGAGATTAGCTGAAAGACCTATTTGACTTAACATACGAAGAATTTCAGTTTTATTTAAAAAAAATATGTATGTAATTAGCATATGTAGGGACTCACATTTTTCTTATTTAAATCGATTCCACATTCAGTATACAAGTGATTGGTTGGCTTTAATATTGGTTCCGAATTAGGTCTGATCGGCCAATCACAAATGGCAGGGCCAACCGTGGCAGTTGTTGTCAGGGTGACGAAAGTATCTGTATCACTCAACACTCTACAGTAGGTAATAAAAGTTATAACAAAATTACAGTTGTGAAGCAATACAGTTATCTTTTCTTTAGTCATGTAAATATGGTGAATTATTAAGTCATTTAATTAATTTGTTCTACTTAGTGACTTATCTCATTGAAAAATTTTTTGAAACAGGTTGACTCAATAGTCAGCCTATCAAACACTTCACTGAATATTAATTTAATGTTCTCGTCAGTAGTATATATATTATTGTTTTTATTATAATTAAATAGATTGACTTGTATTGGATATAATCACATTCAGAAGTGTGACCGACTGAGTTTCAATACAGACATTTGCACACCCGATGTAGCTCACAAAAGGAGAAAAAAGATTTACAAGAACTATAATGAGCAGAAATGTGTGACAGAAACAAAATTAACACAGAAAACGTAATAGTTCAGTAAATATGGGGGATCACAAAGAGTGGATACATCTGCACCAGTGCGGACGATTTTGAATTGCATCACCAGTAGTCTCCAACTACTGTTTCTTAGCATCCCGAAAATCCCAACCAAGCAGTCTCCGTCTCCCTAATTAGCACAAACCAACTGTCAAAGTCTTCATGTACTGATGCCAGGTTTTCGTTTGTTCACCTCTAACTATTTTCTGAACCAACCTTATTTGGGTAAACACTGTTCAAAGAGAAAGGCTATACGTCGGCATGTGCAAAACGTGTCTTAGCCACCCCAATCGATATAGCTTCACTTCCTCATCGACTAACCTGCCCTCCTTATCTAAATCTTCAAGTTCAAATTCAGTATTGCTCTTCACATTATACCGCTTAACACCGTAGACAAAATGCACATCAAAATTGTGAAAGTTATCATTAACTAGTCAATGTATCTGACAATTTTCCCTAAGTTGGGTGAAAGTCTTTTGAAAAATTGGACTTGGATTATAACCATTAATTTTTCGATAATGGGAATCCGTTTTATTTGACTATTCACAACTTATATCGCACTACACTCTTTGTTTTGTATCGGATTTAGTTAGTTGGACGGGGGGGGGCAGTTACGACTTCTTTCAATACCCTTCACATCATTGATCTTACCAAGCGTAACAATTCGGCATAGTATCATTTTTCAGGATTTGTAGCTATCAGCAATGAAAACTGGTCGAATTTGGCCGTGGATAGTGGTGACTATAATATTTATTCAGTCTACACAATAACTTCGAAATGATTACTAAATAATTTGCTCTTACTAAATGACGTCACATATTCTCATCACGCTGTTTTGAAGTCCTATAATTAATTTTTCTCTCCATTATTCTTGATTAAGATTAGAAGTATAATATATTATAGGCACTCCAAAATCACTAATTAGTTCTTAGTGAATAAGATTATTGGGTAGTATGTTAGATACACAACGAGAAAGAGAAAATTGGTGGATCAAATTAATTTAAAATAAACCAATATCTAGAAAATGAGTCAAACAGATGAATCTTCTACCTAATAATTAATACTTAAGATGCTTAGTGTTCATTACTCATGGAAAGTATTTAATTTCTTCGATTACTCATAGCTCTGTTTTTCATATTAACCTCATGTTTGTGCACTGGTAGGGATGATATTATATCGATTGATAAGAACTTTAGGCATAAAACGCTGTTGCCGGGATAATTAGATTTAGTGTGTAGCATATACTAAGTATCAGTAGAAAATCCGTTTAATATGGATTATTTATTTATTTTGTGTTGAATGCTATATCACACTTATATATATTTATGTGTAAATATGTCTCTTTGGATTTCATCTGTCTTAGGGTGTTAGTCATATCAGGGGAAAAAATGCTAAGTAGTTGTGATGCTCTTTACGTGTGAATTTCAAAGCATAGAATCAAATACTGATTAAAACAACCCAATTATTTTTCATAAGAAGGATAGGAACTCAAGGCTAATATGCTGCTGGGCTATTCAGGTTGTAGTTCATTCATTACCATGTGCACTTGAATGGCTTAACACTTTGGCTTGTACCGACGTTGAGAAATCACTCAGTTAGGGATGAAAACGACCTAGGAAAATAAACTACTTATACATACGTTGTATTAGATGTAAAGTAAATTTTTGTTCAGCGGAGTTTAAAAGGACATGCAGACATCCTTTTGTATAAATCACGTTGACTCTGAACAATTAACTGTCATTCTCGTGTATTTTAGAGAAATCACTAACTGCACTGAAACTATTTCATTAAAACTAGGTTGGTTAGATAATCCCGTGCTCCTTTCAAAAGCGATTACAATAAACTGTAGTAACAATACGGCAGAATTTTGGGTACATGTTCAGTATACAGTATGCAAGGGATATATTCCATCAGCTAGCGCTCAGACAGTCTGAAGAAATAGGTTGTATAGATAAGAAATACACCTTATGACAGGCTTACGAAAGGTTTTTATGTGAACAGTTTCATCAGGAGCGCATTGCTTTCTTCATTGAGATTAATTATATCAATAAGAATAGATGTTTGACATTTGAACCTACTTGCGACTGTCAACGGTACCAGTGATACATAACTGTATATCAACATATTCAAAAAATTATAATAAAGAAACTCATGTACTGTGCTATTGCAGTACATTTATCATTTTAATGAAGAAAAAACGGCTGGAAATACGAAATATAGGGTAATAAAAGCACAGAAACCTGTTCTTATCTTGTAAATTACAACCTGTTTACCTTGATTTATCTTTTTCAAAACTGAACCATTTCTTCGGTAATCTTTGCTGAACTTCTGGGTTGTTTTCTTCGCTATGACACCGCGTAACTAAACATATGTTAAAACAAAACTTCCGTTCAACATTCTTTTACAAAAGAAGGAGGTACTAAATGGAAATCGACCAGTAAATGACAAAATATAGATATGAGGGAACGTAACTAATTTCATGAATAAAGGACCTCATCAATTGCCAAATGATTGCCTGTACTTTGAACACGCTGCTAATTAGTACTGCAAGTATTCAACAATAACCACTGAATCTCGTTTCGTCCTGTTAACTGATAGGAAATATTTATTTTTATTGAAAATGAAAAAAATTGTAGTAATTAATACTGAGACTTCCAGTAGTAATAAACTCTGTGGATAAACAATTTCACATCTTTATGACTTGCCAACTATTTACGAAGACGAGTCAGCAGTACAGTCAGTCAAAGTAGACATCGTTTCCTGAACATAAAGAATAATTCATTTTATGTATATATATCGCTTCAGACACCTACTTGTATAGTTTGGTTTGTAAGGATTAGTTATGTTTTACGGGTTGATCACGGATTGATATCAGTTAGAGAACCATTGAAAACCAGTGGGGAGTACTGGACAGCTGCTGTTTCATCCTAGTTTGGGAATCATCGGCAGTACGCACCCACTGGGTTTCGAACCCGGGACCTTCCGGTTACTGATATCAATCCGTGACCAACCCGTAAAACATAACTAATCCTTACAAACCAAACTATACAAAGTTAATCTGATGCTCGCTAGTGACTTGCTACAGGTTGGAGTTTCCTGCAGTTCTAGTGAGAAGTCGTGACCAGTGAGGTCCAATTAGATGTCACGTGTGTGGATGGATGTCCCACCAACGACAATGGTTGGGGTCGCGCTAAATCACGAATTAGTAGAATTTAGAATTCACGAGCCATTGAATCGGGTCCCAGTGGCTGAATGGCATACGAGCTTGCCTTGTAACCAAGAGGTACCGGGTTCGAAACCCAGTGGGTGCGTACTTCCGATGATTCCCAAACTAGGATGAAACAGCAGCTGTCCAGTACTACCTGGTTTTCAATGGTTCTCTAACTGATATCAATCCGTGATCAACCCGTAAAACACCTACTTGTAGTTAGAAGCCATCAGGTTAGTCTTATATCGGTTAAATGGTGACAACATACTTGGTACTTACAGTTCCAATGCTGCTGTCTTTGGCTGTCTGTCTACCTATCAATTATTATTGCTTCTCACTAAAACCAACCTGATCTTGAATGTGCTAGTGAAAAGTTTTCTTATTTTAATTTTAACCTAAATTATTCGCTTATGAGACTTATAATTCGAACGTTGAACACAGTTGTCATTCACAGATACAATCGGGTGAAGAGCTCATTTTAGTTTATCATTCCATCAGTCATTAAAAAAATGGTAGTAGGATTTATTTCAGAAGATCAGAAAACTTATCTTTAATCTTATTCAAGCATGACTAATTTACACAATGTCTTATTTGTAATATATCAGTATTCACCACTGATCATAAGTGTGGAAAACTCATTTAATAGACCTTACCAGATCAATCTAATCCTATGGTTCTTTAGAAGCCATCAGTTCAGAAATGACTCACAGTAGAATTTGAGTAAACGTTCACTGCTAAAACAAAATATGATCAAACAGCCTTGATTCACAATGATATATTCTTCCAATTAAGAGAGTGAGAACAGCTTCTTACTGTTAGGAAAAGTTTATTTAACTCTGTTTTCAATTTGTCCGACAGCTTTTCAGAATTCATTTCAAGAGTCCAATAAATCAAAGGAAACTGTAGAACTTGACCCTTAAAATGTAAATAGGTTCATCCAATGCAATTACAACGTCTTTAAGACCAATAATCACTAATGTCAATGTCCACAGTTTATAACTACTCAAGTCAACAGTTAGTGGATACTATACAGTTTTATTTTTCAACAAAGAGAAATATCCAGGTTACATGTCACCTTACATGAATGATGTAATCGGTTAGCAAAGGGATATCTTGTGCTCGTAAATGGTTTGTAAGTATCCTAGTCTTAAGAAAGAAGAAAATAAGGAACTAATTTTCCCTTATTAAACATTAAAGTCACTGATTCTGAAATACACCAACATTGATACCTACTTTTTCAGTTGATGCTCATATATTCCTATGGGGTAAACCTTTCATTTTCAGTTTGTCTTCTGACATAGGTGTAGGCATATATTCTAGCGGCTAATATTCATTGTCTTATGTAGGAGTATTGGTGTTGCATTACCATAGTTTCCTAAATGTTAACCAACCAATCACCTGTCATCTAATAATTTTGTGAATTAAGTGACTTTTCATCAAAGCCATGTGGATCAATTGCTCGGACAAGAAAGAATACTCCATAAGTGAGTTTAGCTACTTTTTAACACGTAAGTAGTATAACGACTACTTACTAACTTTATTGTTTCAAAATCGTAACACAAACTGGAGTAAATAAATATATGTGAAATAAAAGAAGTTAAATGAGACAATAATGCGATTCTTAACAATGTAAATTTACTAACCTTCCTTGTTACATTTTTCCTGTGATTGTACAGAGGAATCGTATGCATTTGTATTATTCAGGATGGCTTCAGAGTTGTCAAAAGATGTGAGCAGATTACCATCTTGGAAAACTTCACCCTACAAATCCATGAGAAAAATTAATCATAAGCATTTCTGTGGGGGGGGGAAAGCGTAATATTGACTGTTTCCATCAATTCCGATAAATTTTGTCATGAAAAATCTATATATTGATGTTTCTTCAAAACAGCGACAGGAATATTTACTATAGAAAGAAAAATGGTGAAGCAAACCGCATGTGTCTACAGTAATGCTTTCTCTTCAGTTAAGGAGTGAAATACACTTTGGTATCTGTGAGTGACCCTCAAGAGAATAAAGATTTATTTAGCTTATTGACAAGAGTGCCTAAGTTTCAACACACATAAAAAATAGACATCTAACAGTAAAGGTTGAATCAATAACTCTCATGCAGTAAGTTTAGCTTAAGGATAATAGCATGAATATAAAGACAGACATTCATATGGACAGTAAATGTGCTAAATAAATAGCGTAACTCAACAGCTATCCTTTTTATTTGGACAGTTGGTGAATTTGGCCTTTTCTAAGCACATCATTAATAGGAAAAAACTGGTTCGAACAAGTAACTGCATTCATATTTGGATGCAATAATGTGGAACTTACGCAGATGCAATTACTCATCACCTCAGTAATCCTCACAAATCCTATTTCTAATCTAAAAGAAGAAGAATACTTTTCACTCCACCATCCATTCGAAAAGTGAGTGCTGTTTAACAGACTCTCCTTTAGAAACATATGATATGCATAGACTCTATTTGGCCGCCTACACTGTTTACAGAAGACTGGACTATTATCACTAAAAGCATTTCTTGATTGTAAACACAGCAAGGAGGGTAGTATAGTAATTATTAAAACCGAACAAGATTAGAGATAAAATATTACAGCATTTCTCTGCTTCCCGAGTAGAACATAGAGTTTCGAGGTAGACCTTTGAAGTTTCAGTAGCGGTAAAGTGCCTCTACGGGTTGGGGTGGTTAGCCTCATGCCTCCCCTCCTCGCTTTAAATGGACATACTACAGGATAAGCGAGGTTTAGGGGTGCGTCAGCCGGGAAACGAACCTGGGGCAAAGGCGTGGTTGGTGAACATTCCACCCCTAAACCGATGCCTTATCAGAACTATAAATGAATGTTGAGATAAATCTGTGGTTATTAGCCATCCAGGTGACCATTATCAAAGAAGACAAGAGTTCAGCTGTATTGTCATTCATCCTGATGGTCAATAAAACCCAACTTCGAAATAATTTACAAATTCCCATTTACGCATTTAGAAAAAAAACCCACAGATTCAGCGAAGAAATATATTCCTTTTCAACTAGTTCCTCATCATCGCCTCTGCACTAATATTTAGTTTTTAACATCGAATTTTTTTTACCAATCAAATAGTTATTTCAGTTGAGCAGTTTTAGGTATAGGGGGGTAATTCTTTTCACTTGTTTGCATTTTATGTAACTTATCTGAGTCATCCTATTCTTATAAGTCATCATTATTTTACAGATCTCTTGATTATATAATAACTTGTTGCTAACGCCTAATAATTAACTTATTTTGAATTCCTTAATTAATTTTCACCCCTCTTTTAAAACTTAGATGTTTTGTAACTAACATCTAATAGTTAATTGTTTGGATGACTTTTAACCTCTTAATTTCACCCCCTTTACCTAAAACTGACTAACTAAAATAACTACTTGGATGGGAAAAAAATTTTGATGTAAAAACTATGTATTAGTGCAGAGGCGATGATGCGGAAGTAGTTGAAAAGGAATATACTTCTTCGCTCAATCTACAGCTTTTTTCTAAATAATTGTTTCTGTCCAAATGAACGAAATACTATTCCTTATTTTTTCCCCTCACTGGCTTTGAAATATGACATCAGTGAATACACTTATTTCTCTAGACCAATTATGTTTTGCCTTATATCAACACTTTTTCATATGGAGTCTTTTTTCCTTCACGTTCCTCAGTGGAATATAGGGCTTCAAGCTAGTGGCTTGAAGTTTCTGTAGCAGTGTTCATTTTACAGGATGGGGTTGCTAGCCTCATGCCAAACCTTTCCTCTTTACCAGCATTATTTCTAGCTTAGCGAGGTATAGGAGTGCGTCGGCAGAGGATCGAACCTCGAACCATGTGCATGGTCGGCGAGCGTCCTAACCGCTATGCCACCGACGAACCCATATGGAGTAATTTATCCCTACTTCAACTTTGAAATGATTTACAGTCTTATCTATATTGGTTTTCAGTCACACATTTTCCGTGAGATACACCAATATTATGAACCGATTAACTCACAGTAAGAATCAATTGTACTAAGTTTAAGTGATAAGCAAACTACTGATAATACTGTCAGCATGATAAAATTGAGTTTATTTGTTTCTTTTATTACATAATTGTGACACGTCATTGTAAATAAACAATGTCAATGATGAAAGACATCTTAAATAAACTCTTTGCTTAATTAAATGTTAAGTGTTGGTTTATTTCTTTTAAATTTTCATTCACTTTAGTGTTATGTGTTGAGTAATTAAAAGACAAGATCAATTAATTGCTATATACTTTGTTTACATTGTATGAAAGCGATTTGTTTGCCGATTAAGATTTGTCAAGAGGCGAAGATTAAGGCCGAATAATGAAACACTCACACATACTTACAGACTGGTATCTTTTCGCTAAATCCTATGCATAATTACGCTCAATAACCACTTTGTGAAACCTTAAATTCATCTAGTTTAGGTTTATCTAAGCATATATATATATAGGCACAATTAGTATTGAAAAGTTGTCATATTGTCAGTTATTGACAATTATCAACTTCAATAACTCACAGCTGGAATTATGTTGGCCGATGATGACGGATAAGTATTGAATTTAAAAAGTTGTGAATTCTGTGGAATTGCATTCGGCTGACCAATGGCTTCAGTTATCAGCAGTCTGAATTCATCATTATTCATTTGTTGTTTGATTTCATCTGCAAGGAATTAAGTGAATTTTGTTTACGAAAGTTATTATTATTATTACAAGCGTAGTTGTAAAGCAAATTAATCTTTCTAAAATGTTATCATTCGAGAAAAAGTATATATATATATATATGTAGTACTGATAAATCTTCATATTTCTAGTCGCCAGATAATGACGGAGGTCTTTGTTTGATGTCGGTTAACTGCTGAATGTGTGGTGCTTTAGCGTTTTGTCTTGTCTGCGGCAAACATAAACAAGCAGTGTTAGGGAGTTATAAATAGGCGGTAAAATTGTTGTCCAGTAATCCAATCTCAGTTACTAATAAATAGATAGTGTTATGGTTGCATGTCATATTGTTTATTTTATGTATTGCAGTGATACAGTATTATTTTGCTGGGTAACTGATGTATCATTATATGCTGCATCAAATAAAAAACTAACAAGGAACTGTGTTTTACAAGACTGTCACAAGTGCCTCTAGGAAGTCAGCTGACGCGTTAACCGAAACACATCATTTCACTACATATGCACGAACGGTAGTACATTTAAAACAATAACTCAAGTCTTCAGTTATGATAAAATACTAACAATATAGTCAGTGAGGTATATAACACAACACTGTAATATTAGGTACTATCCAAGGTTAGTTGCTTAAAGTGAGTAACATCATAAAGTGTCTATGTTTTAGATCTGGCATATAATTGAGGATTCATGTTAAAATGATTTTAAATAGCACCGAAGTACTGAAATATTCACCAGACAAATTACTGATTTCCGCATCGTGTGGACATTTTTTAACATTTAGGACTGAGGTTAATTTTCACTCATCTACATATTTAAAAGTAAAGAAGCTGATATCAGCAGTGTTGCTGATAATGACAGAATTACAACTAACCTTGAAAGTTATCAGTGTTTACGTGTCACTGATTCCCAATCAAACTGAACTGTGAAAATCAATAATTCTTTCGATGTCTATACAAAAATTAGTTTCTGAAAGCAGACTGCCTGTTATGCATCTATTACATTTCAACATTTACGGCCAGTTACACTATATTGTTTTACTGTTGCATATTAGTTTCTTTAGTGCTTGATTAGTTACAATTGTTTGTAGTCAACAAATTTCATCTCAAAGTGAAAAAAAATCTACATGAGAGATGAAAATGGATACTTGGATAGATTGTAGCGTCTTAAGATAATTTTTAAATTTCCAAAGAAGATAATAAATATTTTTTAATTTTTTAAATGTATTCTTCTTCTGTATGACCGGGTATTTGAGTTTTCTAAATTGTGTTAGTCTGTATTGATATTTGACTGCGTAAGCACTCTATACATGTGCTACAGTTCAGCAAACAGTCTAATCACCAATTTATATATATATATATATATATATATATATGTATATATAAGCGTACTAATGAATTAGAGTGACTCAGCGATGGCCCTTCCACTGACCCGGAATAGGAGACAAATTAAATGAGCGTAAAATATTGTTAAGACAGACATAAAAAGTATTTCTTTTGTTATACGCAATCAAAAAAGTCTGAGCTGACTTTATAAGTTCTTTTCAGGGAATCTTGGACAGCACAGTACATTAAAATTACACATCAAATGCTAGATTCAGTATATACCAATTAACTCTTAATCAGTTGGAAATGGCAAATGGTGTACTAATTGACTGATAACGGGACAATAATTGTATGACATACAGCAACACAAGGGATACCACAATCACACGCTGCTTTAAAGCAATAAAAGGAGATAAATAAAGTAATTTGACGCGTATATAAAACACAAAAAGATGAATTTCGTCAATGTAAACAAAATTTTATTCTTTCTTCCTTTCTCCTCGTTATCTTTTCAGCATACAGAATATAACAAGAGATAAGAAGAGGAAGTAGTGTAAACAAATTGTTAATAATATCGCTGTGACGAATTATTAATTATATATATATATATATATATATATATATATATATATATATATATATATATATATATATATATATATATAAGATGGGAAATATGTTCATTGGTGTACACAAGCACAATGCTGTCTTTATTGCACAATTTTTATTATCTTGTCTATAATTTGTATTTATTCTAGTAGCACTTTGTCACTTTTTACTGTCAGTGCTCTTAATTTCCGCTTCTGATATCTTTTACGCACATAAACACACACTTATTTCTTTGCTACATTCTGCTAATTTTGTGCAAACCTCCCAGAAAATATGTAGAATTTTTAATTATCTTATATATATATATATATATATATATATATATATATATATGGGAAGAGAGAGAAAGCTTGTTTTCAGAGGCATTTGGGCATTTTATCCTTCTAATTTCGACTAATATAAACAGAAGTATTTGGTGCACCTTTCACTGTGAATTTTCTTCCCCTTATCAAACACTAATTATATAGATTTTAGCCATAATTGATGCAAGCCAGATTGCAACTATAAACAATTCCATTCACAGTAAAACAGTGGAAGATGATGGACGATAAAGAATATTTAGGAATTTCAGCTATCACCCTTATTTATCCTCTCCATACATCACATGTAAAGGTGAATGGGCGAAAAGACAATGTAGGTGGCTGTTAAATGTAGCAGTTTAGTAAAACATTTTTCTTTCCCCTTTTATCTTTTTTTGGTTGTAATTAATGTGTTAAGAAGTTTTATCTGTGCACAAATATTACCATTTTGATAGATTTAAATGAGATCACCTAAACAAAGATATCAATTTATTCAATGATGAACATGTATCGGATGAAATAACTGATTTTTACTAGGGTTATTATAAACATCTACATATTTATATATGTATGCACAAGATCATAATAACTACCTTATGTACAACTTACAGGTGTACAGACTTATATATCAAGCAGTTAAATAACAAATGGACACCTATCATTGTGAATTATATACGGACATGTATACACGCACACGAATAATTTTGTGCTTAGTAGGAAATATTTAACCGGAAAATTTCACTAATAATATTATTCGTGGGGTGAGAAGGAAAAATAGTTGAAGAATTATTCTAATTGTCATTTTCTCAAGGATAATTTGGACCACCTATTTTAATGATGTTTCTTGTGGACTTGACAGAAAAATGAAAGTGAAAATTAGTAATTCTATAGAAACAATGATTAGTGAATATGTAAAGCTTTGTTAGATCCTTCAGTAATATTGAAACAGTTCCAACACAAGTAACCTAGAAGGTGTGAAATAACACGAAAGCAACCATTCATGTCCAAAGTCACCAGGAGATATGATTAATAAACTCGTGGAGAAATCTAAAGGCTCACTGTAAATTGAAGTATGCACTGAAGATGTCGCCTAGTAGGGCGATGTAAACTTCGCAAATTAACCATCCAGCTCAGAGAACACAAGCACATCAAAATCATCCACCTGAGCTACAAATCTTCTCTATCATATCTAGAGTTAAATGTTAATTCCATCTGAGTCTGAAGCTCTTCATAAGAAAATAGCAGCTGTTTAGTATCAAATCCAAAGCCATCAGGTATCATGCTAAACAGGTCATCAAGCTCGAATAAAAATCAAATATCCATTACTGACTTAATTGTTGACGAAGATTTCCACAACTCCCAGTGATAAACTGTAGTGAGCATTATAAACTTATTTGGTTGGGACGACTACTTCTCACTACTGAAATGAGGTGTTTGTTTCTCTCCCTCCTTAACTGAATTTCGGAATAGTGACTCAATTACAATATGCTCATTTTTAGGAAGAAACAACACAATATTAGATTAATGCATTTTATTACACTAACTGTATAAGGTTATTTATTCTGATGTGCTTAACAGGAAGTGCATTATTGAAAACACTTCTAATAAAACCACTCATTGATTTGATTTATTCATTTTCTTAGTCGCATGTTACTAGAAGACTATGGCGAGCTATACATTCTTTGTGTTTGTCCTGTGTAATGAAAGTTGAGATTTAAATCTCACTGTGTGCTACTGATGTGAGCCATGCATAAGTTATAAAACTAAGAAAGTTCTCCTGATGAAACTTTTTAATACCTGAGAGTTTTTATGTAGGAAGATACTTCGATGGTAGCTAATTTTACTTAAAAGGTAATCTCATAAATCATTAATCTCTGAAAATCGGTATCTATACTCATGGTTTTTGGACAGTATTCGACCTTACATATTTGAAAACAGTTTCTGGGCGTGTGAACTATGGTGTCAAGGTACTATGTATAACTTCAGAGATTATTCTGTAATTTAGATTCTTGAAGAACAAATAAATTTTTTTTCACATGTTAAAAATATGGTTAAATTGTGTTGTGTAGTGGACACTGGGGTGCCACTGCTCACTACTGATGGAAACATTAATATTCTAAAAAAAAAGTGATAGACAAAATGAGTACCACTTATGATTGCTAAAAGTGATCCCGGTTCTTTCCTCAAAACTTGTAATAAAATTCAAATGGTTTTCAGTGAAAATCCTTTTAATTCCATTGTGGGTAAAAGTTCTATTCTTATATCAAGGGAATCTTTTTAGCTTCAAACTGAAGCTTTAAGACTAATTAACGGCGAGAAATGCCATATTTAATGAAAAAATACCAGCTAAGGTTTAAAAGTGAAATGCTGTTACTGTTTCACTTTATTTGAAGCTGACTAGCGACGGAAAAATGGAGATTTTTGTGCCTCTGTTACACATGAAACTAATCCTTGCCTTGAAAAATACGATTTCCATATTTCAATAAACAAAAGTACCTATGAATATATATGATATTATCTTAATGATTGATAAGTTAATATTTGAAATAGACACCATCCATTTTTTTCAATTGACAATTTTTTTTGTTTTATTTCAGTTCTCCCTTCAGTTAAACGTTTAGTCTCTTATTTCTCCTTTCTTTCTACCAACTTGAATGATATTGTTTTGCATTCTATGAAGTAAATTTAAATATAAACTAGTAGAGTGCAATGTGTTTTCCCGCCTTATTAATAACACTACTAATCTCTGTGCACAT